ATAGTTAGTAATAACTTAACAATGAGCAATTGCACATTTATTAACTTTTGAAGCAAATAGATGTATGTTTATAGTGACATTTTAGTTTAAAAAGAATATAGCCATATCAGGTTTTTCCAATTTCAAATGAAAATTTTTAGATATTCTATTAACACTAAGTTATTTATTTTTAATTAATTAAGTATTGTTTTAATACCATTAATTAATCTTAGTTATTTAATTTATCAATTGGTATTATTATCAATTGAACTTTCTCAACATTATGATCAATGCCATCTCAATTACTTGAAAAGATTGTGTTCATGTTTGGATCATTACTTTACTTATCGCCATTAAGTTGCATATCATTCATTGTGCTAATGTTCGACTAAAGTTATTATAAATAAAATAATAAAAATTGTGGAATAATTTGAAACAAATGCATTAATTTAATTAAAAAACAAATTTAATTAAGGTACAATAAATCTTCCCGAATTTCACGACGTTTCAGCGCTTACAGATAAAATATATTTTATAATTATATAGTCATTTTGAAGTAAATTAGTGATCTTTCTTTCTTCTTTTTTCAATTCGATGTTTCTAAAGAAATTTCATTTCATAGTTTGTAGCACATTATCAATTGCTCATATATACAAAAACGCCGTACTAACATATTTCATGGCATTTTACTTTTAAATTTCACTTCTTTTTTTTTTTGAAAATTAAACTGAAGTGCTTAGTTTTTTTTAGGCAGTGACATGTTTTATCCTTTTTTTAAAACTAATTTTCAGAAAGATAAATAATGATCCCTTAATTTGAAAAGAGTATCAAAATTAATAGCACTTGACAAGTTAGAAATACACTTGCAGTCATATGTGCGCACTTATGCACGCGCACCTGTTTGCATAACTAATTTGTTAAATGATTTATTATCTTAACAATCGGTAAAACGAAGACCAAATAAATGCACGCATTCCTCATGACAACTGCCTTTTAGCTTTAAATTATATAAACTTTTGTATTTCTTCGTCTTTTATTACTATTATTGTTACTATTGTTATTGTTATTGTTATTATTATTATTATTATTATTATTATTATTATTATTATTATTATTATTATTATTGTTGTCATTATTATTATTGTTTATTATTATCGCTGTTACTAAAATGAACTTGACTTGAAGCAATAATAATTTTACTTTCTCATTTTGTTATTAATTACTTTAAAATGCTGATAACGGCAGTGATAACATCAATTTTTTATTTGCCTATTTTTGCCTTTAGTATTAATCAACTATAATCAGACAAACTTAATATACGGTAAAATCTAATTCCGGAATCATTGGACATTTTCAAACATTTGAAAAACTTATAGATTGTATTTTACTCTTAGCACATTTCAGGTAAATAATTTATTTGTGATTATTTCAATTATCTTTTTTTTTTATCGTAAATTTCAATTTTGTATGTTAGGAGTGAAGATTGAAAGATTTAAAAATTTGCAATAAGTTACATTGTTGAATCAGTTGTTACACTAATAATAACAAATTTAAATTACAAATTTGGATTCTATTCTGAAATACCCGAAATAATTTCACGTTTTCTGACAATTTGACTTTCTTTTCGAATTGTATAGTTGACTTTTTCTTAATTTGCGTATTCAGTAATGATAGAATTTAAGTAGGAAACGCAAATGCTAAATTTACGAACTGTCCTCTTTTGAGTTTTATTTTCCAAGCAATATCGTTAAGGAATAATTTCATAGATTTATTTTGTTTTTATTATTTTAAATAATTTAAAATTAAAACTACTATGAATGTTAGGTTTTGACGTTCTGCAATAACTCAATGCTTTACAAAAATGAGAAATGCTTGCTTGTAGTGCTTTACGACAATTACGAATCATTCATTTTCATTGCTTAACAGTGATAAGCAATGCTTGTTTTCATTGTCTTATCAGATTCAAAATTTTATAACAATAGCAATCAAATATTCGACCTTGGTTTATTTATATTTAGTTCCATTATCTGAATCATAGATATATATTTGAAATTCACAGATATATATGAAATTCACATACCTCTTTATATCTTAAAATAGAGTAAATGAGTTTTAATTTAAATTGAGGTTAAAATTGCACATTTGCTGTTTTCCAAAAAAAAAAAAATATTAAATTATGTTTAATTGTTGCAAAATTTTATTAATTGAAAGTTTTTATCATAGTTGCATTTTCATTTAAAAATGAAAGAGAAAGAAGAAGAAGAAGGGGATGGCATGATATGAATATTCAAATTTTCTTTCTAGCATCATAATCGATGACCTAGTGGCCAGATGAAAACCTTTGGTGACGATTGCGCCATCGTTCTCATCCTCATTTTCCCTATCTTTATTTGTCTCTTCTACCGGAAAAAAGCAGAAGAGCGCAGTTGCTGTTAGAGAGAGATATGACATTTGATTTCATTCATTCCAGTAGAACACCACCGTGTTGCGTGATACTGATTTGGGGGATAGGGACAGGTATGCTTACAGGTGCAGTAAGCTTGCGCAACGTTGACCCCAATGATGCTACCACGAGAATCTTCCGATTGTTTTTTTTTAAACAAAACTTAGGGCGTGGTTTATGTGTGTTCGCCCCAAAATTAGTATAAAAGTTCATTTTGAGCAAGAAATTCTTATCCAAGTTGAAAATGGTAGAGTCGACGAATGATCAAGGTAATCACATGCGATCTCGCAATAAAGGTAGGTGGAACGTGTAACTTTAACGTAACTTTAATTATTCGATTATTTGAATTATTCAAGTACTACTCATATTCGTCGAAGATATCAGGTAAGTAAAATATCCGTACAACTTCAATATTAAGTATTCGATTATTTGAATTATTCAAGTACTACTCATATTCGTCGAAGATATCAGGTAAGTAAAATATCCGTACAACTTCAATATTAAGTATTCGATTATTTGAATTATTCAAGTTTCACTATTAAAATTCTGCACCCCGTAAAAGGTATTAGATAAGTGAAATATCCCTTCAACGTTAACATATATTGAAAATTTGAAGTTCTACTCACACTCTTCCCAGCTGCATTGTTATTCTGAAATATCACTCTGCTTTAAAATTAATTTGAATTTCAAAGCTGTTGAAAATTATATCAATTTACGAAATTGCAAATTTTACACTTTTGCAATGAACTGCTCAACTTCAGTAACAATAATTAAAATAATAATAGTAAACAGCAATCATAAATAATATACATTTAAGTCTATATGAAATGAAATAGATGAAAAAATATATAAAAACGAATAAAAAAAATGTACTGATTGTACTGCAAAACATGAAAATATTAATTTCGATTTTTTTGTTTGATTCCTATAATCATCAATCAGTCAATCAATCAATCAATCAATGGATATTTCAAATTATGGTAGATCTGAGCAGTATTATCATTATTGGTACTTATGTATATTCAAGTAGTTGGTTGAGTACAATAATAAATTTTATTGTGAAAAACTTTTTGAAGTGATACTGTAAATGTCTACAAATGACATTTGATATGTTTTTCGGCAACAAATACCGAAAAGCTTTGTTGTACCGATAATTTTACAATGTCAGTTGTAAATGTTATTGTGGTTGTGAGATTTCTTGTGAGATAATTATCATTCCTAATATTTTCGCATGGAAAATAGTAATAATATTTCAAAATTTGGCAAAATTTAAAATATATTTCAATCTTATATTAATTTCTAATAATGCTTTATAAAATAAGCTAATAACAAAAATATAAAATCATTAAGTTATGTATATATTAGTAAAATAGGTAAATTAGTAAAATTGGTAAAATATAATCATCTTACTTGGAATAGACTTTAAATCACTTTCGATAGGCACTTAGATTTTAAAATATATCAAGTAAAACTTAACAAAAGTGACAAGATCGTTTACTTTTTTATTTAACTATCTATTTTATTTGATTTAAAGTAATTTGGATGTTTCTCTTCAATTTGAATGTTAATTAATTGCAGTATTATTTTTTATTAGTAGAACAATAATTAGTTACTCTATAATTTCTTATTACTTTTTAAAAATAGTAATTAAAATCAGCATAAATCATTTTTGTTGCAAAAAACAGTAAAAATGATAAGAATTGAAAGGCCATTGAATTCACTCACTCATATCTAAACTCTAAATAATACAATAATTCAGTTTATCAAAAACTATTTATTTATTTTTTTTTTTTGAGCAAGAATTAAATTTTAGATCAAAAAGCGAAAAGGTTGAATTTTCTTTATTTAATTCTAATTTTCTCCCAGTTATAATATGATTATTTACATTTATTTTTTTGTGTCTTTTTCATGAGTAATTAAAAATGATTATTCTATTAGCAAAATAATTTTATCATTTTTTAAAAAATTATTACCTTTTAGCATATTTCTTCGTTTGTATAAATTCAAACGTACTAAGAAGATGAATTGGTAGTTAGATGAGGGTTAAGGTCAAATGATTGCATCATTTGCACATGGGTTCAGGTCATTAGAAAGGGAAAATCATTGGTTGCGCTAAGCTTTCTATAAATCTTTTCAGCATTTATATTCCAAAAAATGATACGGTATACTATCACTTTTTAAAAATTAATAAAGCAAAAATGTATGGTAAATTTATTTATCATTTCATTTTGTTTTTTAAATATTTTTTTTTCTTAGTTTATTGTTTTATCTAAATTTATAATATTTAAAAAAAAAACTCCGAAAATCAATTGATTTTCATTTAATTAATTGAGAATTGAAAGATGGACCAACAAAATTTTTGCTTTTATTTCTTTTGATAGAAAAACTATTCAATAACAAAATTGGAAGGAAGTGGTGAAAGGTATAAGAATTCAAAAATTGTTGATTCACTAAATTTTATAGCACTATATGCTTCTGAAAAAGTAACTTAAAATACATTAGTATTATTTATGCTATCAAAAGTAATCAAAGTAGCAACTTTAAATACTTTAATACAAAGCTGAATGATGAGTAAAATATGATATTAATATTAATTTTAGCGATACCATATCTGCCACGTTATATGAAACCAGGTCAACCTTGTGTCGTATGTGGTGATGATGCTACCGGTTTGCACTACAGGTATCATTTTTATCACTGATTAATCATTTAGATAAATAATTTATAAAATCATTCAATCATTTCAAAAGTTTTTGCATGCTATTTTAATTTTAAAAATAGCAATGAAAAAAAAGATGAGAAAATTTTAGAAATTTTAATAAGCTAAAAAATACTAATAAAAGCAAAACTGAATTAATCGTATTTAAGAGCGATAACATGCGAAGGTTGCAAAGGTTTCTTTCGACGAACCGTTCAGGTAAGTAATAAAATGTTTTTGCAAAAATTTTGTTAAATATATAAATATTAAATTGTTCAAAAAAAACATCAATTGTGTGATATTGAACAAATAATTTGAGAAAATAAATGATAAATAGTTGAATATATTTCATTTTGAATATATTATTTGGTAAGTAATTTGTTGCACAGTTATAATTTGTTGGTATTATTAATTAATTAATGATTATTTTATCATTAATTCAACAAAAGTTTAGCATTATCTTCAAGTTTTTCCTTAGCTATTGCAATATTTCTAGTGCAATAATCCTGAATAACTGATAGTAAAATATTTTACGTATCATCAAATAAATTATTAAATTATCTCTCATTTAAAAATATAAAAGAAAACGAAATTAAAAAGAAAGTCAAGAATAAATACTAACCTATTACTTTTACATTTGTGGTGCAAATTTTTTTCTAAATTTGTAGAAATTTCTAAAAAAAAATTTCTTTCAGATAATTTTTAAAAGTGAAATTTTGACGCACCAACTAATTTACGTGTATTTCAGCGTAATAAAGTGTAATAAGACGTAATAATGTCACATTTTTGCAGCAAAATATTGTGTACAAATGTAAAGGCATTGAACAATGTGAAATCAGCAAGTCTTCACGAAATATTTGTCAATTTTGTCGATTTCAAAAATGCATGGACAATGGAATGATGAAATCTTGTCCGTATTGATTGAATTAAGTGAAATTTAAAAAATGAAAACTTTTTATTCAAATTTTTGAATTGATTTTAAATTAGACTAACTAAATTGAATTCACCAAAACTATGTTGAAATGATATCATTGCCATTCTTTGCATTATCCTTTTTGAAATTAATTTTATCGTTTTCACAATGTTTCTTTTAACTGATTTGAAAATTTAAAAATGTTTCGATACATTATTTATTTGAATCTTTTAGGTACTTTATAATTCAACAAATTTTTCATTCTTGATTATTTTCTTCAGTGGTATTAAATGAAACGGAACGGATAGCAAAACGGAAAATGATAAGTGATAACCGTGAACGACGGAAGATGGAACAACTAAGAGCAGTGTTAAGAACTAATTCATTAGCTGATAAACAGGACGAGTTTCAAACTCGAATTAATCAAGTGACTGCAAATTACTGTAAAATTCTAGATAGCTCATTAGAGGTTAGAGGTTGAAGTTCAGTTTTATCTTAGTAATTTCAAATAGTTGTTGTTTTAAAATTTGATCCTTCAATGAATATTGAAAGAGTTAATCCTTGAATTATTTGTTGAATTAAAATATTTTTAGTTAAAAGTAAAAAAAAATTTATTTGTAGTGAAGTCTTAAAAATTTAATTTCTTTTAAATTTTATAACTTATATAAAATATTAGAATTAGATATTTCTTACGTGGCAGCTTTATGTTAATCTTTATATATAATTAATAATGAAATACATATGTTCGCTTTTTTTACGAATTTATACGATTTTAATTGAAATATTGAGAAATGGTTGTATTCCTTTTTGACTTAATCTTTATATCATTTAATTACCATTTTAATTGCTTCAATTAGCATAATATATCAGTGTATACTTGTCATTAGAACTAATTATTTCTTTAATAAAGCAAGTAATTACTACTGTTACTTGTTATCAAAATTTCCAGTTTATCATCTTTTCTTATCATCTTATCTAAAATTTAACAATTATTGTAAATCTTTCGATTTAGAAAGAAAATCTGATACGATGTACTTCTTTACAATTTGACTAATATTTTTTTCTAGTATAAATTCAAATCGGATATAAAATCGGAACGATTGTTAGAATTGACTGAATTAGTTACTCAACAAATACGACAATTTGCTGAGACAATCGAAATCTACGATAGTGTTTGTTAATTGATTCACTAACTTATTTTAATATATAAAAAATCTTAACTCTTTCCTTTTCCTCTAAATTTACTATTAAGCAGTAAATTGATTAATTCAAAAATCAATCTGCTAATTAGCAATGATTGCTTGTAGATTTGCATTTTTAGTTGAATCATTCGGCACAAGAGGAAATAATTGAAAAAAGTTGGCTGGTAGTAAAAGTTTTACAAATTATCCATGAATTCAATCCTACAGAACGTTGCCTAATGTTAGCCAACAATACAACTTATATAGCAGCTAAAGGCGATTATTCCGAATTGGATTATACGACGAAAATTTTTGAAAATTTAATAAATTTGGCTGCAAGTTTTCATTGCATGCAATTGGATAATCGACAATTAGCCTTATTGTCAGCTTTGCTTATTTACAATCCGAAAAATGTAAAAGAATGCGTAAGTTAATTTAACTACTTTTTTATCATGATAACAAATATTGTCACTTTTATCATCCCATTACTATCAGCAAATAAAATTAACACTTAAATTGATATAAATTATTAAAATTTTGTTTTTGATCAGTCTTTGTGTGTTGGAGTAAAATGATACCGAATTGTAATCAAATAATGAATATAAATTCATCTCTTCTTCTCTTGTTAATTCAAATTATATGCAATACTTTTCTGTTAATTTTTCTTTTTTGAAACTTTTATAAAAAAATATATTTTTTTTTTCTTTGACAGTGAAAAATTTGTTAGAATATTTGAGATTTGACTAATTCAATTTTCAATTTTAAATTATAAATAATTTAAATAAGTAATTTTAGGAGGAAAAAATTGACAAAGTACACATGGAATTATGGAAATGTTTGCAAAGCATTAGTGAAATGCACGACGACGATTCAATCGATCTGCATTACTGGCCAAATCTTCTTGTTCGCATATCACAATTACTTGTCACCGTTACCAATATGCGACGGTTTTTTCGAGATCAAAATAATATTAATTCAATAGCAAACATTCTTCTCTTTAAATTTTCATGAATATCAATCTTAAAGTAGTCGAAATAGTACTTTATGATAGGTAAGGTAAACATCACAAGTAAGTGAGTTAGTCTGAATATGAACCTATTGACAGTTACACTTAGAATTGAGCTGAAAGTCTGACGTATAAGGTTTCAACTCCACACAAATTCAGTTCAATCTATGGGTGATCGAATTTTGGCAGAACTTCCGTAAATTATTACGATTTAAACGGGAATAAGTTTAGCTGAAATGTGAAAAGTTGACGGTTTGATGAAAACTTTAACGTGAAAGTGTAGTGAACTGTTGCACTTGAGCAGAATCATTTGCGTGAGAATGTGAAGTAGGAGAGTTTGAGAAAGGATAACGGTGAAATGTGGATCGTTGCGCTTGACGTGAGTGTAAACTATTGGCGAGTTTGAACACAACTAAAACGTGGACAGTTGAACTTGAGTAGAATCGTTGCGTGAAAATGTGAAGTAGAGAGTTTGAGAAAGGATACGCTGAAATATGGATCGTTGCGCTTGACGCGAGTGTTAACTATTGGCGAGTTTGAACACGGATAGGATTGAAAAGTGGACACTTATGCTTGGGTAAAGTGTAGGACGTGAATTGAAACATTAAGTAGTCGTACGTGGATAGAACATTTAACATAAAATGAAAATTATAAGGGCATCCTTAAGTAAAAACTAGAGTAAACATATTCTCAAGTAATCAGTATTTGAATGAGATGATATTCCGATAATCGTGAATTTGAATTAGTAATATCTTATTAGGAAAAATTACACGTAGAAACGTGAATTGATAGTATATTAAGTAAAAAAAAAATTAATTAGAAAGAAAGATATAATAAATATTGAAAAAAGGTAAGTTTATATATACAGGTAAGAAGTTTTACGATTTTTTTTTTTTATAAATAGTGAAATATTATAAAAATTTTTAGAAACAAATCATTAATAAAAGTAATTTGACAATTACTTAATTTTTCAAGAATTTCAGATATATTTTTTTGAATACTTTTGTAAAAAAAATTTGTTTAGGAAATTCAAATGTATCGATTCAAAACTTTCTAAATGTTATCGTTTAGTATAAAAAGACAATCTAATATTTAAAATAATTAAATTCAATTTTGATATTTGATAGATAACAATTATTGCATCACTTACATTTACAATTGTGCAATTTATTTTGTTTTTACAGATACAATCGAAATAATTCCTCCAACAATCAATTTGCATCGCAACAACGAATTGCTTTTTTGTGCTAATTTTTTTGCAAAAATGCTATTTTCTTTTTTAATTTTAAAAAACTAAAAAGAATTTCAGATATTTTTTCCTTTTTTTTGAATATTTTTATAAAGCAAAAAAAATGTAAAGTTGAAATTTCTTTTACACTTTTTTTGCCCAAAAACAAAAAATTTTTACTGTTGTCAAAAATTTAAAAAAAAAAAACCAAGATATCTCAAAAAATAATCAATAAACTCAAAAATTAATCAATAAATTAAGATATCTCAAAAAATGATCAAGAAATCAACAAACAAAAAATAATCAATAAATTCAAAAATAATCAATGCTCATATTTCCTATTTTCTTCGGAATCAATTTAAATCGCAACAATGAATTATTCTTTTGTGCTAATTTTTTTGCAAAAATGCTATTTTCTTTTTTAATTCTAAAAAACTTAAACGAATTATAGTTATTTTTTTGAATATTTATGTAAAAAAAAATTTTGTTCAATTTATCGAATTAAAATCTTTTAAATTTTATCATTTAGTTTATATATATATATATTTATATATTTCGATATTTCAGCTATTTTAGCATATTTAGATATTTTAGCATATTTCAAAAAATTTGCAAAACACAATATTTTATCCATTTTCGGCCAATACATAATCAATTTTAAAACATTTATGATAAAATTTTAAAACATTTTTTGATAAAGTTTTTGATGAAATTTCGAGATAAAACTTTTTTCTCAATTTGCTCTGTTGTTTACACGCAACATTTGATCGGCTTAACCGGATGAGAAATTTGTTCAAACCGTTTCCGGCCAACGGCATATCGTTTGTCATTGCTAAAATGTAAATAATTTTCGATTTGAATTTAGCAATTGTCAATTTCATCTCAAAGAAATTGTTATATTGAGACATAGTGTATTAACAGCAGATACATTAAGAATAATATTTATCAAAGTTTGCATGAATGATACTTCTTCAATCGGCAATTTTCCATTTTCTAAGAAATTCATCTAAGCAATTAAAGAATTAAAAAATTAATTGATTAAATTAAAGGACTAGTGGAAAAGAATAAAATGACTGATATAAAGAAAATAAAATTGAAAACCACTAGTATAAAATATGAAAGAACTAATATTAACAGTACATAAGCACTCATAAATTCATACCAGAATCTGTTTGTATCAGCAAATTAACAGAGTAGTAGCTTATTGTTTTAGCAATTCAATAACAAAAACGTCAAATTTACATCACAATGCAAAGTTCAACATTTATACTAATTAATTACTGATTATATATCAGTGACAATTGGACTACTTTTAATTCCTTTGATGCGAAACCTTTTCGTCTTATCACTTCGTGCTATTTCATAACAACAGTTATCATAGAAACCGGTTCGCAGAGTGGTTGATAACTTTCGAGGTGATAAGGGCATATCACTGTGATATGCTTGAATGGTTGACTCAGTAAAAAAGATTTCAACCGATTCACTATAATTTGCATTTTCGTCTGCATCTATCAAACTGTAAACTATCTGAAATGATAGATGATAGTTAATTAACTGATATGCCAGCAAATTTGATATTATAGTGATATGATAAGACAGTATAAAAATAGCAAAAGTTAATTGTATTTAGCACAAAACGTTACTGAAAGGAATGTGAAAGTTTAGTAGTAAAATATTAAAATTGAAGAATTTGAATCAATGTTAGATTGAAATTATAAAAAAACTTTATGCAATTTAAATTTTTTTGCAATTTGGTTACATTCCATTAATGAAATTAATCAATTCATTGATTATTAACAATTCAATAATCAAAAATTGTAATGCAATTAAATTTCAATTCAAAATCTAGTGTTTGTATACTTGGATTTAATATTCACTCTAACTCCTATTTTAATACTGAATGCAATCATGTTAATGTTTGATTTGGTTCGTCGTCAAAACCCATGTGAAAATGAGATAAAAATGTAGGACAAATGAGAAATATTTTGTAGAAGGCAGAAAAGAATGTTACAAAAAAGTAGCACTTCATGATTGAAATAATTAAGAAATGATTAAAAGTATTTGAATTGTAATAGAAAAAAAATCATACCCCACTAGGCTTTCTCTTCCCCTCATCTATTGACTAGGCAAGATTCATCCCTCACATTGAAAGACTACTCATTTCTTTTTAAATAGCCCAGTATCTAGTGCTAGGCTAGATGAATTGTGCACAAACATTACATATCCCAGAGAAATTTAATTATTTTACAAATCTCATATTTAGGCTAGTTTTAGGATTATATATATATAAATTATCATTACTCTTTCAGAACATTATTTACGGTGGAGACAAATAGTCTGACTTCGTCAAGTATAAAAAATTTTAATGATTTTATGATTCAATCGGTTACATAATTTTATCTATGAATTAGTTCTCCCATAATAATTGTAAAACGCACTTATATTGAAGTATTTTTTTTTTCGAACACTTTTTATTAAGTAAATTCATAACTCAACAAGAACATTTATGAATAAATAAATTTAAATGCAGAAAATAACTGAAATGGCTGAATTTGAAAGTATTTATTATTAGAAGAATGAAATAATAAATTTGAAGATCAACATCAAATATCATTTAAAAAAAAAAAAAGAAAAATTAAGGTAAAAAGCTGATTAATTTAGCACACACAGAAATACACACTAGATTAGTCAGTTTTTGATGTAAAAAATACCCTTCCTTGCATATTTATGGGTGACAATAAATGAAGCAAAGGCATTAAAAAGTGGAATGGTAGTCAATGAAAAGTTGGTGTAATAGTAAATGAAAAATTAAAGTAGTCAATGAGAAGTTGAAGTAATAATAGGTGAAAATTAGAGTGACAGTAATCAAAAATTCCTTTTATCAGTCTATCAAAATTTAATATTGATGCCTTCATTTCATTACACCATTGAGTTAATTTAAATTAATGATTCAAAAAAAAAAAAAAATGAAAATCGCTAAATTAAGTTTACTGTATTTTTGTAGTAATAAATGTTTAAGGTAATCTAATCTGGAGCGATCAATAACTTGTCACTAGCATGAAATGATCACCAAATTATCACCAGCATAAAATTACAGATAACTTATCACTAGGTAATCTATCATCTATTAGATTAATCGATATTTAAAATGGAATTAAGAGATCACCATAATGTACAATAGATTTTTTAATTGTTGAATTAATAATTAATAATTTCAAATTATTGAGAGAAGAAAGTATACTTATATTACTTTACGGATTCCGCATGATTTTCTCCTCAACTAGCAAAGGGATCTCAACATATAATAATAATACACAAAATATATAGAGAAATAATAAAATATTTATCACGTTTTATAACAAAAGACAGGTGAGAAAAGATTAATGAATTTGAAAAAATAAAACAAAAATATGGAGAAAGTGTGAAAAACATTGGAAATGCTGAATATGGATTTAAAATTTTTCATAGACATCGTTTGATTTATCATTTAATCAATCCTGAAGTGCATCTGAATTTGTAATGTATTGCTGGTAATGAGAAATATTTGGATTCCTTTTTCCATTCAACTCGAGAAATTTAGAAAATAGAGCAAAAGGATTCCATTGTCAAAGTATAAAAGACACCATTTTTTTCATCTCCAATCATTATAATTAGTTCGGTTATTCTTTTTTTTCCCATTTTTAAAAAAAAATTCTTAGAAACTATAATTATCAGTGAACCGAATTTCTCGACCAAACTTCAAAAGTTATTATTATCAAATAATGTAGTACTTGGGAGTAAAATTTTACGAAATATTAATTATAATACGACTGATTTGATATGACAAAGTTGTTGGTATGTGTTGTTTTCATCATTTGTTGTGGTGGTCAAGCCAACCAAGCAGGAGCACCTAGAACGTGAAAATTTGCGTGAAGCATGTTCTGCGTGAAGCTTGCAAGTATCAGAGATCAAGTTTAAATTAAACTTTGTAAGATTTCAAACTCTTGAATAATGAAAAAAGACGAGTAGTATTTTCAAATCATTTTTACAACATGATTTGATGATTTATTTTTTTTGTTCAAATATCACATAAAATTAGAAAAGAAATGAGTAATCATTTCAGATGACATTAGCGTTCATTCCGGAAAATGTTACTATGACACGGACGATTTCTACCGGATAAGCGATAATTTAAACATTGAGAGCACTAAAAATTATTAATTTTTTAACCAAAAATAAACTGAAAATTAAACTAGAAATATAAACTAAAAATAAACTGAAAATTAAACTAAAAACATAAACTAAAAATTATTTTTTCTTTTACATTAATTTGCTCGAGAAAAATATCTTTCAAAACTATTTTGAAGTTTTCGCTTTGTTGTAAATTGAATAAAGCATGAATTTGTTAATAATATTTGTTAATTTTTTTTTGTTCCGAAAGCTATTTCGATTTTTTTAAAATTAAAAACCAATTTTTTAAATATTAAAAATAGTAAAATATTAAAAAATTAAAAATATTAAAGTATTTAAAATATTAAAAACCAATTTAAAAAAAAAAAGAATTTCTTTTGTTTTTTCTGATCAAAAACGACTTTATTTCTTAATTAAAATACAATGATACAATAGCATGTACCAATAGACAGCGGTGGAAATAATCACTTTTAATAAATATTAAAATTTGCTTAAAATTTTGACATAAAGTTAATCATCTGGCAGTAAAATAAAATTTCACCTGATAAAATTTGAATACCTTTTCTTGCTTAAAATTGCACATCATTAGATCAATTTTTGTGATATTTTTTAACTTTTACCAACGATAAATATTAAAATTCTGATTATTAAAGTTTAAATCAAGAGTTTAAAGTTAATCAATTTTTTTGTGTCAATATTATCTAGCAAATTTTTGTAAAGTACTGTCATAGTCAACAGTTATTCAATATCTGATTATCAATATGATATCATATTATAGTGATAATGTAAGCTTAGTATGACATTGAGAAACTAGCAGAAATTACATTGAAAATATAAAATAACACTGAAAGTGCTCTTGCATATCATGTCAAGCCAACAATGACAAAAAATTAAACTTTTGTTTTGTAAAGTTATTTCCAAAATTCATTTAAAGTTTGAAAATTCACTTTGCACCTCAAATCACTTTACATTAACACTTAACCAAATCTATTATAAAAGATTAATTTGAATTACATTAAAAGAATAAAAAATATTCGAAATTTCCGAACAATAAATCAATGTTCCGATTTACTATCCAATTTCAAATACTTTGAATGACTAAATAAAATACAAAATGATACCCTAATCTAATCTATATCGTAAGGATGAAAACTTGTTGAACTTAAAAAGCATAATTTTTACAAATTCATGGAAAAAAGAATCGTGTTAGTTTCTATCAAAGATTTTCTCTTAATTCTTACCAAAACAAAACAAGGAAAAAAAAAAGTTTCCATTTTATTGTCAAGTTTTTTTACAATTAAAAAAAGCAATAATCAATTGTTATCAGTGGTCAAAAAGTAATATTTGTGCGTTCTACCAACTTTGTTCTTCCTTTTTCCATTCAATTCGAGAAATTTAGAAAATAAAACAAAAGGATACCATTGTCAATGCATTAAAGAAGGCATTTTTTTTCATCTTCAACCATTATAATTAGTTCGGTTATTCAAATTTCTTTTTCAACTTTCAAGAAAATGCTCATAATTAAATCGTGTTAATTTCTATCGAAACTTGTGCGCCGATCTTTCTCGACAAAGCCTTGAATGTTATTATTCTTAAATGCTTTGACATTTAGGAGTAAAACTTTAAGAAATCTTTTTAGGCCAAAATCTGACTACAAAATTACATCTATTTGCTTCAAAAGTTAATAAATTTACAATTGCTCATTGTTAAGTTATTAATTTTGCTATTCCCAAAAAGTCAAAGCTATCAACTCTCACGATTTAACAGAAATTTTCCTAAGCTCAATTCAGAAAAAAAAAAATAGATTTACTTCCATAATTCAGATCGCAAGATTTCAAAGGAAAGAATACACTATCAAATAGTTAAACCCTATTCCTATCAAAACACAAACAATGATGAATTGTTGTCGCTGGTCAAAAAGCGCTTTTTGTCATTGTACATTCTATTCACTTTGTTCTTCCATTTTCCATTTAATTCGAGAAATTTAGAAAATAGATCAAAAGGATTCCATTGTTGAGGTATAAAAAGAGCTGTTTTTTCATGTTCAACCACTATAATTAATTCATTTTCTTTATTATTTTCAACTTTTAAGAAAATGTTTTTAGCTACTATATTTATCGGTGAAGATTTCGAGACTTACTACTCTTAAATAATGAATTACGAGTAAAACTTCAGGAATTATAAATTATAATAGGACTTATCTGATATGACAAAGTTGTTGGTATATCTTGCTTTCATCATTTACTGTGGTGGGCAAGCCAACCAAGGAGGAGCAAATAATGGAGCAGGTATGTATCTCATGTTTTTTTTTATCGTTTCTGTCATTCCACTTCTCTTTCAAGTGAAATGCTGGTTTGGGTATATATTCTATGCGTTCTGCAAAATTCCAATCTATGATTAAAATTTCTACTGAAACAGCATTTGAAGGTGGAAGTAATTTCAGCTCGAATGCCCCTTATGTTTACTTTTGTAGTACAATTTGAAATGATTCTTGTTATTATGAATTGATAAGCTGAAAATAAAAAAATAGAAATAACCATTTCAAATTATCTCAAAAGTTTTTGTGATGTTAGATGAATATTACCTGGTATCAATTTTAGATGGGGAGATTATCAAAGATTATAAAGTTGATAAGTTATGGGATGAATACAAACAACGCAAGTGGAAGAGTGTATGTTAATTTTATAAAAGATTGATTATTAGCACTTCTTAGTTTTGAATAATTAATTTCAGTTCTGGAAGAAATAAATTTCCATAATAATTTCTATAATTGCAGCAATGCTATTGAATTGTGATAGAATGGAAGATGGAAGAGTGTCTATTTCGGAAGAGAAACCATTGCTGTTTGTGCGAAACACTCTTAATTTGATAAAGTAAAATTATTAGAATTGTTAATATGTAAGTGATAAAGGTTGATAATCACATTTTAACATTGAAGAGATCAGTGTACTAATGAAAGAAATCCGAAAGACGGAAGTCAAATGAAAAAGAAGAAAAGAATTCGTATATTTTCATTTTAAAAAAGAAATAATGAATAACAGAAGCTGAAATTGTTATGCATATCGCCTCGAAATGCTCATTCATAAAAAAAGATATGATTTTCAAGTTATCAGTTTTCCATTATATGTGTTTAAAATACATAAAAGGAAGAAAATGTACCTATATAAAACAAGTATTTATGAGACTAAGTTAAGGGATTTCTCTCTCAAATTAAATTAAGGGATCACTATTATTTCCTTTCACAATTATTATTATTTTGTTATATTAAATCATCTACCAATGTTAGCTAAATATTAGCGTCAAGAATGATATGCAACTTAATGGCGGATTCAAACTGGCATTAATTATAATGTATGGGAAGTCCAATTGATGTTAATGCATAAATTAAATAAGCAAGAATAATTAAATGATATAAAAGCAATATTTAGTCAATTTAAAAGTTCATTTGAAATTGGAAAAACTTGACATGGAGATATTCTTTTAAGCAAAAATGTCAATACATACATACATTTACTTATTTAAAAGTTAACAAATGTGCAATTGTCCATTGTTAAGTTATTACTAATTCTCATTTGCTATTCCTAAAAATCAACGATATTAAATTTAAAAATGTATTTCAATTCAAACGAAAACTAATAGATTTACTTTCGAAATTCGTACTTCATTTTAAAATTTCAGAGAAAAAAATACACTATCCAACAGTTAAATCCTGTTAATTTCTATCAAAACAAAAAAAAAATGAGAAACTTCACTTTTTTGTCAACTGTTTTCACAAATTAAAAAAGGCCATGATAAATTGTTATCGATGATCACAAAGCACTTTTATCGTTCTTCATTCTACTAGCTTTGTTCTTCCTTTTCTATCATATTCGAGATATTTAGAAAATAGAGCAAAAGGAATCCATTATCGAAGTATAAAAGGCGCCATCTTCAACAATTATAATTAATTCATTCCTTTTTTTATTTTCAATTTTTAAGGAAATGTTTTCAGTTATTATATTTATCAGTGAAGACTTCTGCGCCGATATTTTTCAGAGTTCTAAAGTTATTACTCTTAAATAATGAATTACAAGTAAAACTTCAGGAATTATAAATTATAATAGGACTTATCTGATATGACAAAGTTGTTGGTATATCTTGCTTTCATCATTTATTGTGGTGGCCAAGCCAACCAAGCAGGAGGAAGAAATGCAGCAGTTATGAATCTCACTTTTTCATTTCTCTTCCAGGTATGTTTATCATGAAATACAAGTCTAAGTATGTGCTCTGTGCATTCTGTTATATTCCAAAAATTGACGATGGAAGTAACTTCAGTTCAAATGTCACTTAAGATTAGTTTTGCAGCATAACGTGAATTATCATGGGCTAATAAGTTAAAAGTGATAAAATAGTAATAATCATTTCAAGTTATCGCAAAAATGTTATGTTGATCAGATATTCCCTGGCATCAATTTCAGCCGCGGAGATTATCAAAGATTATAAAGTTGATAAGTCATGGGATGATGGCTCGTTAATACAAACAACGCAAGTGGAAGAGTGTATGTTAATTTTATAAAGGATTGATTATTAGCACTTTTTAGTTTTGAATAATTAATTTCAGTTCTGGAAGAAATGAATTCCCATAATAATTTCTATATTTGCAGCAATGCTATTGAATTGTGATAGAATGGAAGATGGAAGAGTGTCTATTTTAGAAGAAAAACCATTGCTGTTTGTGCGAAACACTCTAAATTTGATAAAGTGAAATTATTAGAATTGTTAATATGCAAGTGATAAAGGTTGATAATCACATTTTAACATTGAAAAGATCAGTGTACTAATGAAAGAAATCCGAAAGACGGAAGTCAAATGAAAAAGAAAAAACAAGAATTCGTATATTATCATTTATTTCATAAGATAAATAATGAGTGGTAAAATCTCAAATTTTTGTTTCCTCGTCAAATATATCAGTTTTTTGATTTCAAGACATTCCTTAAAACACTTCTTAAAAAAGGATCTATTTAAAAAAAAAATAATGAAAAAATAAGAAAAGAAAACAAGGACTCGTATACATTCATTTCACGAGAGATTGTACCTTAATGAATCAGTTTTTTTTTTTTTTTTGCTCATTTGTTTCAATTGACGTTAATACCAATTTCATAAATCAAATAAACAATACTAATGATATCAAAACAATACTTAATTAGAGAAGTAATAGAATTAATTAGGTGTCAAGAGAAACTTTCATTTGAAATTGGAAAAACCTGATATGGCTATATTCTTTTTAAACTAAAATGTCACTATAAACATACATCTATTTGCTTCAAGAGTTAATAAATGTGCAATTGCTCATTGTTAAGTTATTACTAACTATCATTTGCTTTTCCTAAAAAGTCAACATCATTAACTTTTAAGAGGTTTTTGTAGTATTAAAATTTGATATCTCAATTCAAAAGAAAATAGACAGATTTGCTTTCAAAATTCAGATCGCAAAAGATTTGAAAGATTTGAAAGAAAAAAAAACACACTATCAAATAGTTAAATCCTGTTAATTCCTATCATAAAATCCAGCAATGATAAATTGTTATCGTTGGTCAAAAAGCGCTTTTATTGTTATACGTTCTATTCATTTTGTTCTTCCTTTTTCCATTCAACTCGAGAAATTTAGAAAATAGAGCAAAAGGATTCCATTGTCGAAGTATTTAAAATGTTATTTTTTTTCATCTCCAACCATTATATAATTAATTCATTCTCTTCTTCATTTTCAATTTTTAAGAAAAAGCTTTTAGATATTATATTTATCGATGAGCCGATCTTTCTCCACCAAACTTCAAAAGATTACTGTCAAAAAATGTAGTAAGCAGGAATAAAACTTTAGGAAATATTAATTATAAACAAAAATTATAATATCTTTTTAAGCTAAAATATGTGAAGAATTGTGCTCCGATCTTTCTCGACAAAGTTGCAAAAATTATTGCTCTTAAATAATGTAGTACTAAGAGTCAAACTTTAGGAAATATAAATTAGAATACGACTGATTTAATATGACAAAGTTGTTGGTATATATTGCTTTTATCATTTATTGTGGCCGAGCTGCCAACCAAGCAAACCAAGGAGTAAATGGCGAAGGTATGGATCTCACCTTTTTTGTTACTTCCAGGTATGTCTATTATGAAATACAGGTTTAAATATTTGCTCTGTGCATTCTATAATATTTCAAAAATTTTTGCTGAAACAGCATTTGGCGGTGGAAGTAACTTTAATTCGAATGCCAGTACATTTACTTTTGTAGCACACCATGAATTACTTTATCACTCAATTGCTTTGGCAAAAAACTTGAAATGTTAAAAATAGTGCGATAATTGTTAAAATAGTGAGAACTGACAAGTTAAAAATAGTGCGATAATTGAGTGACAAAGCAATCATTTCAAATTATCTCAACGTGACATCATTTTTAGTCGCGGAAATTATCACAGATTATAAAGTTGACAAGTTATGGGATGATGGCTCATTAATACAAACGACGCAAGTAGAAGAATGTATGTACATTTCACAATGAATTAAATAATTAACTGGAATTTTTAATTTTAAATGGTTAATCATTTCAAGAATTTGATTACTCTTCTTAGTTTCATTTGTTCGTTTCATTCAGTTCTGGAAGAAATGAATTTTCATAATTATTTCTATAATTGCAGCAATGCTGCTGAATTGTGATAGAATGGAAGATGGAAGAGTGTCTATTTTGGAAGAAAAACCATTGCTGTTTGTGCGAAACACTCTTAATTTGATAAAGTGAAATTATTAGAATTGTTAATATGAAAGTGATAAAGGTTGATAATCACATTTTAACATCGAAAAGATCAGTGTACTAATGAAAGGAATCCGAAAGACGGAAGTCAAATGAAAAAGAAAAGAATTCGTATATTTTCATTTTATAAGAGAAATAATGAATGATAAAAGCTCAAATTGTTGTTACCTCGTGGCAAAAGATAAGATTTTCAACTTATCAGTTTTTTTGATTTTAAGAGACTGCCTGAAAAAAAAAGGAACTGTTTCCTAACAAATGAAACAAAAAAAAAGAAAACATGAACTCATATATTTTCATTTCACATTTTTATTTTCCATGTTGATTTTAAGAGATTATTTGAAGCAGTTTTAAAAAAAAGGAACTATTTTTTCGCACAGTATTTGATCATATTGAAATTGAAATTGTAAATCTTCGATAAGTTTGAATTTTCTTTTTTGCGATGATATTTGATCTCCAAAAGCATACAAAACAATTTGAAACAAAATGAAATTTAAAAGTAAAATGTCATCAAATATGCATTAGCTGTCAATACGGCGTTTTATATATATATATATGAGCATTGATAATGTACTGCAAACTATGAAATGAAATTTTTTTAGATGTATCAAATTGCAAAAAGAAGGAAGAAAGATCACTAATTTACTTCAAAAAAAAATTACTATACTGATTATAAAATATGTTTCATCTGTAAACGTTGAAACGCTGTGAGATCTGAGATGGTTATTAAACCTTAATTAAATTAGATTTTTTAAATTGAATTAGTATATTTGTTCGAGAATTATTTAACAATTCTTATTATTTGCATTCAGCCTTCCCTAAGGTAAAAGTTAGCTGAGCATTAACGCTATAAATGATATGTAACTTCAAGTAAGTAAAATGAGGCCATGATCCAAACATGAATGTAGTCTTCTCAGGAAACTGAAATGGCATTCATCGTACAGCACAGAAGGTTTAATTGATATTAATACAAATTTGGCAAATCAAATAAGTAAGAATAATTAATGATATAAAAGCAATATTTAATCAACTTAAAAGTAAATAACTTATAGTGTTAAGAGAGTATAGAAAGTTTCATTTGAAATTAGAAAAACTTGACATGGCGATATTCTTTTTAAACCAAAATATCACTATAAAAATATGTTGCTTCAAAAGTGAATAAATGTGCAATTGACTACTGTTAAGTTATTTCTAATTCCCACTTGCTATTCTTCAAAAATCAACGATATTAACTTTTGAGATGTAATAGAAATTTTCGTAATATTAAAATTCAAATGAAAATCAATAGATTCACTTCCGAAATTCAGACTGCATTTTAATATTTCAGAGAAAAAAACACACTACCTAGTAGCAAAATCCTGTTAATTTCTATCAGAAATTTTTCTTAATTTCTATCGAAAAAAATGAAATTTTTACATTTTTTTGTCAATTGTTTTTATAATTAAAAAAGCAATGACAAATTGTTATCGCTATAAAAAAGAGACACTTTTGTTGTCCAACTTTGTTCTCCTTTTTCCATTTAATTTGAGAAATTTAAAAAATAGAGCAAAAGAATTCCATTGTCAAAGTATAAAAGGCGCTATTTTTTCATCGCCAACCATTATAATTAGTTCGGTCATCCTTTTTTTTTTTTTGTTTCCATTTTAAAAAAAAGTTCTTAGAAACTATGTTTATCAGTGATGAATTATGCTCCGATCTTTCTCCACAAAGCTTCCAAAATTATTACTCTTAAATAACTCTTAATTACTCTTAAATAATGTAGTAATTATGAGTAAAACTTTAGGAAATATAAATTATAATACAACTTATTTGATATGACAAAGTTATTGGTATATATTGCTTTCATTATTTATTGTGGTGGCCAAGCTGGCAACCAAGGAGGAGCAGCGATGCAAGGTGGAGTAGGTATGCATATTATAAAATACAAATCTAGGTATGTGCTTTGTGCATTCTACTGAAACGGCATTTGATGACGGAAGTAACTTCAGTTCGAATGTCATTTACTTTTAAATTTGCAACACAGCGTGAGTTACTTTATTACTTGATTGCATTGATAAAAAATCTGAATTGATTCCTGTTTTTGTGGATAGATAAGTTAAAAATGATGAAATAGCAGTAATCATTTCAGATTATCTCAAAAGTTCTGCAATGTTTGACGATATTTCCCGCATCAATTTTAGGCACGGAGATTATCACAGATTATAAAGTTGACAAGTTATGGGATGATGGCTCATTAATACAAACAACGCAAGTAGAAGAATGTATGTGCATTTCAAATTAATTTGAATTACATAATTTTGAATGATTAATCATTTCAGGAATTTGATAACTCTTCTTAATTCATTCAATTTTGGAAGAAATGAATTGACATAATTATTTTTATGATTGCAGTAATACTGTCGAATTGTGATAGGATGGAAGATGGAAGAGTGTCTATTTTGGAAGAGAAACCATTGCTGTTTGTGCGAAACACTATTAATTTGATAAAGTGAAGTTATTAGAATTGTTAATGTGCAAGTGATAAAGGTTGATAATCACATTTTAACATCGAAAAGATCAATGTACTAATGAAAGGAATCCGAAAGACGGAAGTCAAATGAAAAAGAAAAGAATTCGTATTTTTCATTTTATAAGAGAAATAATGAATGATAGAAGCTCAAATTGTTGTTACCTCGTGGCAAAAGATAAGATTTTCAACTTATCAGTTTTGTATTGATTTTAAGAGACTGCCTGAAAAAAAAGGAACTATTTTCTAACAAATGAAAAAAAAAAGAAAACAAGAACTCATATATTTTCATCCCACATTTTTATTTTCCATGCTGATTTTAAGAGATTATTTGAAGCAGTTTTTAAAAAAAAAGAAACTATTTTTTCGCACAGTATTTAATCATATTGAAATTGAAATTGTAAATCTTCAATAAGTTTGAATTTTCTTCTTTGCGATAGTATTTGATCTCCGAAAGCATACAAAAATATTTAAAGTGAAGTAAGCACCAGAAATTTTAATTGTAGAGACTTTAGAAGAAAGAAAATTTCAACAGTAGCCGTTTTGATTTTTTCTTTCATGCAAGAAATTTACAACTATCTTACAAGGCAACACTGCTTCTCATAAAAATTCGATATTTAAAACAATTGTTTGAGTACCTTTATTATTTATAGGATTGCTTCATATTGATTTCTAATATTAATGACTGAAATCTCAGTGAATCTGAAAGCAAACAGCAGCAAATGTTTACATTGAATTTCAATTCGGATAGTTACGAAAACATTTAGCATTGTATCAAGACATCATGCTGCTTTTTAATATCAGTGATTTAAATCTGAATAAATTCTAAATGCAAATATCAGAGCATTCTATCACTTTTGCTACTACTAGCAAGTGGTTGCAAAGAGTAGCAGGTGGTAGTAACTAGTACCAATTAGCACACGTAGTAAGTAAATTAACTAAAAGTCTTTGAAATCATCTAGCTAATTATTTAAGTTAAGATTATGATGATGGACTACGAATTTCAATGTGATCTTTATGTTCGGTTTTATTTTTATGAAATTTTTTAAATTGCGTATCGTTTATGAAATTTTTTTAAATTGCAAGTTTATAAAAAAAATTTTTTTTTAAATTATTCTACATTAAGCTTTGTGCCTAATTTCTTGTTTTTTTTTTTTTTTTTATTTATTTTGACTTTTTTGTTCATATTTAGTCATATTTTTAAGAAAAAGAAAAAAAAAAGATAAAGAGAAATTTTATTGAACTTAAGAAATACCGCAAATGGAGTAAAAGCATAAGTGATTTGAACACTACTGCAAATATCAGACAGCTTATAATCAGCAATTATGCACTGAAATGTTAAAAAAACACTATTTTTTAATGAATAACAATAAATTAATTTTTTTTTTCAATTTCTAAGACATTAAAATAATCACAGAAAACACATAACAATTGTAGTTAATAAAGTGATATGTAAAAAGGAAATTAAAATAATTGTTTGTGTATAAAAGAGAAAAAAATGAAATTGGCAAAAATAACAAAATATCATTTATTGATTAGAAATATTTAAAAAAAAAATGTAGCTTGTGAGAAAAGATTCAGTATTAGGCTTAAAAGTAAGTAAAAAGCGATGAAACAGTAAAAAACTATTAGACAGAAACTTTTAAAAATTAAGATTTGATAAAACAGATAAATATAATAAACAAATGGAAAATGAAAATAAAATGAAATTAGCAGCAAAAAAATGTGAAAATGAAAATCAATAATAAAAAGTTAGAAATGTGAATTATTAAACAAGAAGGATATTATATATTTACCAGTAATAGTATACATTGTGCAAAAAGAAGGTAATTTAATAAAAAAGTGAAAAAAAAAATTCAATCTATCGCAAAGAAAAAAGAACTATGAATAAATACATAATAAAAGAAACTACCAGTAAAAAATATGTGAGAGATGAATATGATAAGTATATTAACTTACCATAGTTTGCTTCCTTCTTTCCGTGTTTAAAATACATGAAAGGAAAGAGTGTACCATCATAAAATTAAGTAATTTTTTAATGCATTTTAGATTTTTAAGCACTTTTTAAAAATTTTGGGACCATTTTAGGTCTTCAAGCAATTTCAAGAAATTTACATAATTTGCATATTGAGAATGAAAATGAAGCAAAAAAGTGAATCTCTATTCGTCATAAAAACTGGCGTTCAAATTAAACGTTAGCTGAGCATTAACGCTATAAATGATATGTAACTTCAAGTAAGTAAAATGAGGCTGTGATCCAAACATGAATGTAGTCTTCTCAGGAAACTGAAATGGCATTCATCGTACAGCACAGAAGGTTTAATTGATATTAATACAAATTTGGCAAATCAAATAAGAATAATTAATGACATAAAAGCAATATTTAATCAATTTAAAAGCAAATAACTTAGTGTTAAGAGAATGTATAGAAAGTTTCATTTGAAATTAGAAAAACTTGAAACGGTGGTATTCTTTTAAGCAAAAATGTCATTATAAACATACATTTATTTGTTCAAAAGTTAATAAATATGCAAACGCTCATTGTTATTACTAATTTTCATTTGCGATTCCTAAAAAATCAACGATATTAACTTTTGAGATGTAATAGAAACTTTCGTAATATTAAAATTCAGATGAAAATCAATAGATTTACTCCCAAAGTTCGGACTACATTTTAATATTTCAGAGAAAAAACACACTATCGAGTGGCAAAATCCTGTTAATTCCTACCAGAAATTTTCTTATTTCCTATCAAAAAATGATAGAAAATGTAAAATTTTTTGTCAACTGTTTCTATAATTAAAAAAGCAATGATAAATTGTTATCGGTAGTTTAAAAAAAAAGCATTTTTGTCATTCTACGTTCTACTAACTTTGTTCTTCCTTTTTCCATTCAACTCGAGAAATTTAGAACAAAAGGATTCCATTGTCAAAGTATAAAAGACGCCATTTTTTCATCTCCAACCATTATAATTAGTTCGGTCATTCTTTTTTTCTCATTTTTAAGAAAAGTGAACCCATATTTCTCGACCAAACGTACTTAGGAGTGAAACTTTAGGAAATATAAATTATAACACAATTGATTTGATATGGCAAAATTGTTGGTATATATTGCTTTAATCATTTATTGTGGTGGCCAAGCTGCTAACCAAGCACGTAGACAAGCTGTGGCAGGTATGCATCTTTCATTTTTTGTCACTTCTCTTCCAGGTATGTTCAATATCAAATACAAGTCTAAGTATGTGCTCTGTGCATTCTGTTATATTCCAAAAATTGACGATGGAAGTAACTTCAGTTCAAATGTCACTTAAGATTAGTTTTGCAGCATAACGTGAATTATCATGGGCTAATAAGTTAAAAGTGATAAAATAGTAATAATCATTTCAAGTTATCGCAAAAATGTTATGTTGATCAGATATTCCCTGGCATCAATTTCAGCCGCGGAGATTATCAAAGATTATAAAGTTGATAAGTCATGGGATGATGGCTCGTTAATACAAACAACGCAAGTGGAAGAGTGTATGTTAATTTTATAAAGGATTGATTATTAGCACTTTTTAGTTTTGAATAATTAATTTCAGTTCTGGAAGAAATGAATTCCCATAATAATTTCTATATTTGCAGCAATGCTATTGAATTGTGATAGAATGGAAGATGGAAGAGTGTCTATTTTAGAAGAAAAACCATTGCTGTTTGTGCGAAACACTCTAAATTTGATAAAGTGAAATTATTAGAATTGTTAATATGCAAGTGATAAAGGTTGATAATCACATTTTAACATTGAAAAGATCAGTGTACTAATGAAAGAAATCCGAAAGACGGAAGTCAAATGAAAAAGAAAAAACAAGAATTCGTATATTTTCATTTTATAAGAGAAATAGTAAATGATAAAACCCTGAAATTTTTGTGTATATCATGGAGAAATGTTTCTTCGTGGAAAAAGCGAACTTATCTGTTTTTATAGGATTTTAGTGATTTTTTGAGTTTCTTTTTTGCTTGAAGCGTCTCGAAGAAGAATCAAGAAACAAAAAAAAAAAAACCAAAAAACAAAAATTTCAGTATGAAACGTCAAAAAATTTTGAAAATTAATTTAATTTCAGCTGTTCCATGCAAAAAAATTTATAATGTTTCTTATAATCGATTGCTGCATTCCATAAAAATTAAATGCTTAAAAAGACTGTCTGATTCATTAGGCATAAATCATTCTTATGGTTATAATTGGTAATGTTTAGAAAATGAAAATTACAAATGAGAAGAAGAAAGGACTATATTTAACAATGACTAAAGCGTAATAATTCTGAATTAGATCTGTTGAAAGTTATTTGCTAATTTACATAATAATAATATTAACTTATTCATTCGGATTTAAATTAAATATCAAAAACCAGTATGATATCTCCTAACTTTACTTGAAACATTTTTGTATCTGTCGCATTGATTTCTTTTATTTGCCTTCGCTCTAATACATTTAAATGGAAAAAAGTGCAGTAAGTAAAGTAAAGTAAGTTGAAAAGCATGCAAAAGTGAAGGTAATCATAAAAACACATAACAACTATGACTAGCAAAAAGACATTGATATTGCAGAATATAAAATTAAAATAAATTGATTTGCCGATCAGTCAAAGAATTATCAATTTGCTCTTTGTAAATTTCTACAAATGTAGGATGTTACTAATTTGATTGCTAATTAATTTGATCTATGGCATTTTGTAGATTTTCCGCGATGGTATTTTCAATTTTTTTTTGGACATATTTCATACTTTCTAAGGGTACAAATGGCTTATTGATATGATTACTACAGATAAAAGCAATTTGACATTCTGCGACAGTCTTTGTTGATAAATAATCGTTATCATTAAACCACGTGATACATCAATATGCCATTTAATTGATTGGTAATTTGCGAACTTTACGAAATGCTAACTTAATTTTTTATGTTTACCCAAGCAATGAAATGAACGGTGAGTCAATCTAAGGTAATGTTTAC